ATACCTAACCAATTTCCTAGCCATCTTCCCATAACCCCAATATTTACATGTAAAGATAGCCTCGTTTAGCGCTGTTTCGCATTACGCTCTACTTTGATGGAACGTATCCCCCGCGTTAAGCGGGGTCTTACTGACCATAACGGAAAGCTTTTATGAAAAGGAATTTTTAAACCCTCAAAAACATACTAGTAGTAGCAAAAACTGAAGGAACGATGTTTTGAAGGTAAAACGAAGAAAATGTGATAATAATATGAAATATTATTTGGACAATAGTTGATTACCTATTTTTAGAATACAGGCTATTCATTTGAAGAATTTTAATTCGCATAATTTGGCGCAATGGGTTTACATTTCATGCGATTGAGATTAATATTTCAAAAATGTTACTGATTTTTTTTCTTAAATTTTAAATAATTGAACTTAATTCACATTCTAGACTAGAAGAGAAACACGCTAATGTGACAATCAAAATCGTAAAAAACAACCTTATATTTAGCGTAGGTATAATGAAACATTCAATCGATTTCGAGGGCAGCTAAAGGTCCCTCCTCATCAGGAGAAAGAAATACATAGAAAGAAGAAAATAGGAATCACAGAAACACGTGGTGCTTATCAGCACTGCACGTGGTTATAACTAGATTTTTAATCAGAGTTGCACTGGCCGCCTACTTTTACTGAGCCAGGCTGTCTGATCAAGCATAAAGAATATTAGCGAAGTTAAAATAGGGAGCGAGGGGCAAATGCACATTACGCTCAAAATCTGAAACTTCAAATAATGGAAAGCAACCACTGAACGGATTTTTATACCCTCTGGTAGTACCAAGTGCGAGGAGGTAACGCCATCTATCGGCAAAAATAATTGAATTAAGACAGTAGAATTTTAAAGGCATTAGGAAGGACTGGATTGGACTTCAAATCATTAACTAAACTTTCTAAATCTTTGTGAATGTGAAAAGCCTCAAGAAAATCCAATTCGCCTATGGGAAGAAGCCTTTTGGATGATTTTTGCAGACCCCAAATCAAAATTATGGTTAAAAGTCCAGCTATGATACGCTATTGAAGACTTGTTAATTCCCCTTTTTTGACATAAGATTCATATTCCTTGATACGAAACTTCAACGCTCTTTTTGTTTGGCCAATATATCTTAAACCACATTGACATGATATACTATAAATTCCCCAAGAATTCAAGACAGAAACGCAATCTTTTGGAATCGAAGGGTGAATTTTATTAATAGGGGAGAAACCGACTTGAAAATTGAATTTCTGGAGAATCCGTGCAATTTTATAGCTAACAGAAGGATAAAATGGAAGCACTACAAGGTCATTGATATTATTTCTAACAGTGGAATGTCTTCTTTGATGGGAATCTGAAAAGTTTTTGACGGCTTTATCAATAATCACGGGAGAAAATCCACGGTCAATCGCAACTGCTCTCAAATACGAGTAATTAAGTTCATTGGTAAGCAAAGATTAAGAGGAACAAACTTTTAGCGCGCGGAAAACATAATAGTAAAAAGAAGCCATTTTTTGCTTAACAGGGTGGCATGACTTGGCATGGGGTGGTAAACAAACTGCAAAGGGCTTACAGTACACAGTGGTGCTAAAATCGGTTTCATTGCGGATTATAAGAATATCGAGGAAGGGGAGGGAATTGTTGGATTCAATTTCAAGAGTGAATAGCTAACAGAGTGAATAGCTAACATCGTTAATATCTCCAATAGGAATCTTTCGGAGGATCAGTTAAAAGTATTAAAATATAATTTCAACTTTTCAAAGAGATCTAAACCTTCAATTCCTCAAATCATCGCCCCTATAGAGAAAGCCTTTAAATTCTCCAAAATTTCGGAAACGCAGAAGGATAGTACAATCCGCCACCTAATTACTCATAACGTTAATTTAACAATAAATCTTTGGGTTCTAATCTTAGCAAAAAGGAAAATGAGATCTTACGTGAAATTCATTCTGATACTAATATCATTATCTCTAAAGCTGATAAGGGCGGACAGATCGTTGTTATGGACAAACACACATATATTACTGGAGTCTCTAAATTGATAAATGAAGGCCCATACTGCTCGATCCCTAAAGATCCTTCAACTTCGGACCTCATGAAAAGTAAAAAGTGCTATTAAATCTTCCCACATTCTGCCAACTCAGTTGAAGAAAAGAGAAGAAATCACTTATTCCGCCTATTACTAATTGCGCTAGACTTTATGCTCTTCCAAAAGTCCACAAAACCGGTATTCCTTTCGACCAATTGTTTCCAACATAGGTGCTGCTTCATATCCTTGGCCAAATATTTAGTTTCCAGATTTTCTCCTCTACTTGATAACAATATTCACACTGTAAAAAATTCTGTTGAAGTCATTGATAAACTTAAAAATATTTCCCACTTCGTTCCATTATGGTTTCATTTGATGTCAAATCATTGTTTACTAATGTTCCGGTCGAAGGAGCACTAAATTGTCTTGAAACTAGGCTTCGGGAATTTCACTTCACACATACTGAAATAATGAGTTGGTTTCGCTTACTAAAGTTTCTCTAAGTCAAACCCACTTTGTTTTCCAAAATGCATATTTTCGTCAAGTTGAAGGATTGGCTATGGGTAATCCTCTCAGTCCGGGTACTTGCTGACATTTATATGCACTATTTGAGATGAAATTATTTGATAAATTATCTTTTCGTCTTTGGATTCGGTATGTTGACGACACTTTCGCCACTTTTTGGACGGGTTATAAAGAGGATTTATCCGAGATTCTATCTATTATGAATTCAATTGATCCAGCCATCCAATTCACTCTTCAAATGAATCCAACAATTCCCTCCCCTTCCTCGATATTCTTATAATCCGCAATGAAACCGATTTTAGCACCACTGTGTACCGTAAGCCCTTTGCAGGTTGTTACCACCCCATGCCAAGTCATGCCACCCTGTTAAGCAAAAAATGGCTTCTTTTTACTATTAGGTTTTCCCGCGCGCTAAAAGTTTGTTCCTCTTAATCTTTGCTTACCAATGAACTAATTACTCGTATTTGAGAGCAGTTGCGATTGACCGTGGATTTTTCCCGTGATTATTGATAAAGCCGTCAAAACTTTCAGATTCCCATCAAAGAAGACATCCCACTGTTAGAAATAATATCAATGACCTTGTAGTGCTTCCATTTATCCTTCTGTTAGCTATTAAAATTGCACGGATTCTCCAGAAATTCAATTTTCAAGTCGGTTTCTCCCCTATTAATAAAATTCACCCTTCGATTCCAAAAGATTGCGTTTCTGTCTTGAATTCTTGGGGAATTTATAGTATATCATGTCAATGTGGTTTAAGATATATTGGCCAAACAAAAAGAGCGTTGAAGTTTCGTATCAAGGAATATGAATCTTATGTCAAAAAAGGGGAAATTAACAAGTCTTCAATAGCGTATCATAGCTGGACTTTTAACCATAATTTTGATTTTGGGTCTGCAAAAATCATCCAAAAGGCTTCTTCCATAGGCGAATTGGATTTTCTTGAGGCTTTTCACATTCACAAAGATTTAGAAAGTTTAGTTAATGATTTGAAGTCCAATCCAGTCCTTCCTAATGCCTTTAAAATTCTACTGTCTTAATTCAATTATTTTTGCCGATAGATGGCGTTACCTCCTCGCACTTGGTACTACCAGAAGGTATAAAAATCCGTTCAGTGGTTGCTTTCCATTATTTGAAGTTCAGATTTGAGCGTAATGTGCATTTGCCCCCTCGCTCCCTATTTTAACTTCGAAAATTTCTTTATGCTTGATCAGACAGCCTGGCTCAGTAAAAGTAGGCGGCCAGTGCAACTCTGATTAAAAATCTAGTTATAACCACGTGCAGTGCTGATAAGCACCACGTGTTTCTGTGATTCCTATTTTCTTCTTTCTATGTTCTTTCTCCTGATGAGGAGGGACCTTTAGCTGCCCTCGAAATCGATTGAGTGTTTCATTATACCTACGCTAAATATAAGGTTGTTTTTTACGATTTTGATTAATTCACATTGTTATAGAAGTTATATTTCCTTCTAATTTTTTAATACTTATTTCAGATAGTAATTATACGATGTTATATAATACTAATACTAATTATATTATTTATAATTATTGTTAGATATTTTCTTCAATTTTCAATTTCAATGGAAACAATTGGATACATAATATATAAAAATACCATAAAGGCTTAAATTTGGAAGATACAATATACTTAAATAAATGATTTTGCTTTGTTTTTGGAATGTTTTTTGTGAATGCCAAACTAATCATAGATTATCCGAAAAAGAGTTATCCGAGACTGAAACATTCTAATTTTTTATTAACATTATAAATCGGGATAGAAAACATTATTTTTGTTAATAAAATAAATATTTTCAAAAGGTTTGATAATTTTTGTTATAAATATATTTTACTATAAAATATACAATTAGTATATATTCATTAATAGTTTCAAGGATACCATGTTCATTAACGTGTTTGGATGGGAAGGAAGATAGGCTTTATGAACGTTTATGTTTAAATAAATATGAAAATGCACTTGTATTGCAATTCTTTGCGTATAATCAGTATTGAAAGAAACACAATTATGCAATGATAATGTCATAAAGAGGGGAAAATGCTTCTGAATGAACATCATTAATTTCTGCATATACAAGAGTGAAAAAATAGTCAAAGCTAACTACTTACAATCAATTTCTATATTTTATTCTGTCACCTTCTTCAACTATTATGTATATAAGCCACATTTTGTGTTACTGATATAGAATTTATTTTCATTCATTTCCTCAGATTTTTTCATTCTTCTCTAGAAATTGAGAGCGCATTTCAGAATGTGTTTGAGAGGTAGTCTTTTGAAAGGAGGAGCGAATGAATATGCTTACAAGGTCGCACACTTTAAACAGCAGGGGAAAACAAATCTCTCTCGTGATGTTAAAGCTCAAAGGACAGTTTTATTCAGCGAGTTTATTTGTTACAGCTGGCAGTGAAAATCTTGAAATGAAAGAGGATATAATGAATTACTAGCAGCTATAAAAACATTAATAAACGTCCGGGCTATTTTTCCGCAACTATGATCATACCTTCAGGTAGTTTTCTGAATTTTAAACTAAGCTTTGCTGCACCATCAAGATATTTTACTGTATGGTACTATTATTATGGTATGGTACTATTATATTATTCGTGACATAAGTGCAAATGAATTAAAATATTATTTACGTCTGAAGATCCAAATTGTGTGTTCATCACATTTAGAGTGTGAACTTTTCGAAACGAAAACAAATGGAATTTGAAGATTTACTGCTAGATGTCGGAGATTGCGGGAAATACCAAAAGCATTTGATTTTAATTTTCTTAGTCCCTGCAGCTTCCTTACTTCCATGGTTTACCATGAACATAATGTTCATGGTATCAGTCCCTGATCACTGGTGTTATGTTCCAGAAGTAGCTTCGTCTAATTTAAGCATTTCTGCTCAAAGATCTCTAATTAGTCCTCCAGACGATCCATGTTGTCGTATGTATGATATAAATTACACGGAGCTTTTGTCTAATGGAATCTACACTGTGCCTAATGATACAGCGACAAAACCATGTACTCAAGGTTGGCAATATGATAAAACCGACTACGAATCAACAGTTGCTACGGAGGTAAGTTTATATTGAATTAACTGCTACTTAAAAATAAGACTATAAGATTAGAAAGGTAAAATTTAACAAATTCGTTCTGAGAGAAATATATTAGGAAAAATGTATTTCTGTAACAATTCTCATAAATTAATCTTTACTTCAGTTAAACCAGCAATGTTAGGAGCAAAACTTTTCGCCTGTTATAGTTTCTGTATAAAAGAGTTCGTCTAGAAAATTTTTAATTAATTTTAAACTGAAGACATTTCCATTTCAAGCTGCTTGTTACGACACAAAAAGAAAATGCCACTTTATTCTCTCACAGGTTAAAGCAACCATCTATAAATTATCATAAAAAAATTATATTCTTTGGTTCCAGTAATTTTTATTCCATTTACTTTTATTTAATTTAATATTTTGATGTAATTCATTTAATTAAACTTATCAGTAATTCATAGTGATCTGTTTAAAGTATTAACAGTGATTTTAGTATAACATTATTCATAAGTTTAATTAAATGAATTTTTTGTTTGTTAATTAAATGAATTTTGTTTAAAGTATTAACATTATTCATAGGATCTGTTTAAAGAATTACGATATAAGTATTATAAAGCACGCTTTTATCACTGTCAACTTTGTTATGAATATCCATGTGCTATTTCAAAATTCTCTTTTTCTTTTAATTGTTTAAAAATTAATTCACACGCGTAAATTACTTACGAATATTTTAAGACTAGAATTGGTATAAAGTGAAATACAAAAAATTAATTTTATGAAATTTCTACTATTAGCTCACACTGCCTCTATAATCTTTTTCAAATTTTCAATCGTTAATAAAACATTTTTTATTCATCAAGTTCAAATATATTTTTTAAACTTGTAGTGGATGACACTGGATGTAAATACAGTTTTTTCACATGTTAAAGCTTTCCTACTTATTTATTCCTGCTTATTGGAACTAAAGATATGCTGTTACTTAAATATATTATAAGACTTACAGATAATGACCGTATATTAGGAACTCTCACGTGGTATAAAAATTACTTTTAAAACAACTTATAAATAATAGTACATGACTGTGATTAATGGGATTGTAATATTTAACGAAAATAAGTGACAACAGTAAAACAGAGGTCTAAAGATGTTTAAAACTTAGTTTACGGGGCTAGAAAAGTTTCTAGTTTCCCGATCTAGAAAGGGAAAATTGCTGTACGTATGATCATTAACTTCTAAATGATTAATTTCCTTTTAAATGCGTAATTAAAAAATAAAATACTATAAAAGTTCTAATGTTCAAATTAAAAACCAGGTAAATCTGAGGGTGATCATAAAAGAACGAGCGTTAGCGTTCAGTCTTTATAAAAGGCGCGAGAAGAAATGTCCTAAGCAAATTTCTTCAGCATTTTTTTAGCTAAAAGATATACAATAATTTTTAAAATACATGTTTTCCAGCTACAAAGATGCATATTCTAAGATAAAAGGTTACAAATGTATATATTCAGTAAAAGCTAAAACGATATATACTATTTTCAGTTAAAAGACATATAATTCTGAGATAGGTAATCTTCAGCTAAAAAGATATCTATATTTATGTGTGTGTGTGTGTCTGTAACGTCGCCGAGTTTCCAGGATAGAAAAACTAAGAGCACTTGTCTATTTTTCGATTTATTCAAAAGCTTAATATAGGCTTTGTTGGTTAATTAAAAGGTAGCATTACAGCCAGCGTTATTAAACAAGGAGAAAGACCACAACTTTCCCGACGCATGACGCTTCTTTCATTCTTGGCATTTCTCAGACAAAAGCTACGTTTTTACGTTTACAAGATGAGTCAACGGGAAAACTGCCAAAGGGGAATGACCTTAACGAGATTTCTTGATCACTTTCACCGGCCTGCGGTGGACACCGGGCTTCATTCACAATAGAACAAGAAATTCTCTAAGGGCACACACCTATTGTTTGTTATGTATATATAAAGAATTTACCATAAGTTTCTTACCATAGATCCAAGATATTTTTCTTGAATCTATGATTTCTTGAGAGACAGACTGTTTAGAGTGAAGCTCCATGTCAATACTACCATGTCAAATAGCTTTAAGATGAGTCAGGAAGTACCTGAAGGCTCAGTGTTGATCCTCATTCTTTTCTCCCTGTATTTGACTGGTGCTGAAACGGTAATAAAGGAGAAATGCGAAGTCGGTATATATGCAGATGATATTGCCTTCTGGATCTCTGGTTCAGATGTGGACAAAATTGAGTCTAATATTAATTTTACCCCAGCAGACGGTTTTCCAAAGATCATAAGCTGACTTTTAATCCAACTAAATCTATTGTCAGCTTTTTTACTACTAATAAGCGGTCTTATAATTATCAACCAAAAATTGTTATGGCTGATATATCTCTCAAATTCGAGAAGCATCCTAAATATCTTGGTTCGACAGACCCTGAAAATTCAGGGTCTAGAGTAGGCACTATATTCAGGGTCTAGAAAGGTGTGGTGATATCCACGGTTTGAAAATGGTTTCTGAATCAGAAGAGATTCGTGCACTAACCTAGTGCTTCGCATTAGAGAGTAAAGAACATCTATGATATAAAAATATACTTTTATTTACACAGCGAAAACGCGCAGCAACATTAACGAAAGCTCATTCTCCTAATAACATACTTCTTTTTACACTCCACTTGCGCATGCGCATTGGCAATTACCAAAGGAGCTTGGCAGATACTGCCATCTGTATATCTGGATAAACTATTCGCTACATATTCCTCCCACCTGAATTTACTGGGAGGTAAATTCACACATATGTTAAGTATAATATATGCATAATAGTACAGTATACAATATTGAAGTATAAAATTATGCCTACCAAGATGTTCTAATTAAATTGAAATACAAATTTACCTGGAGATGCAGCATTCCATAATTTTCTAGACATATTAACAGATAATACTAAACCTAGAAAAATAAAAATAAATCAAATTATTAAAAAGTATTCAAACAAGTACAAAACATTTCACAGACGTATCACTGGTTTCACAGTTCTACCACTGCTGGTAGTCATAGGAATATTTTCAGTCATATCCTTTTGGACTGGATTATCCAGCTCAAGTCTTTGTACTGGTCTTAGAAACTCAGAAGTCTGTTTTTATGAGAGCAAGTCTTATTTGTCCATCACGACCAGGTATCAGCTTTATGACACGCGCCAGGTTCCAAAAAGCACGTTTCTTGTTGTTATCTTCCAGTAGAACATTTCACCCACCTGGAGAGGTTTAGCTATAGAGTTTTTAATGGACTGTTGACGTAACTGTCCTAGATATTCCACACGGAATCTTGCTCTAAGTTGTTCTCTCACCTTTTGTAGATACTTAGCTCGTTTACTCAGTTTTTCCTTATCCACTGTATCGATATCAGGTACTCCTGATTTGGAAATCTCCCGCAAGAACATTTCTGGAGTTAATGGGGATGAATCTTCAACGTCTTCCGACACGTAGGTAAGTGGCCTAGTATTGATTACTCTCTCACAGTCGCATAGTACTGTAAGCAACTCCTCGTAATCCAGGGCAGCACGACCTAGAACTTTTCTCAGAATCTGTTTCACCATTTGAACTAAACGTTCCCACCAACCGCCCCACCAAGGTGCGAAGGGAGGAATAAATTTCCACTGAATTCTTTGCTCAGCGGCCTTTGATCGCAGACTCTCCCAATCAATTGTATGCAGAAGGCTCTCCGCTCCGCTCCTTTAAAATTACTGCCATTGTCTGAGTATATTATAGATGGTCTTCCGCGACGAGAAATGAAACGTCTCAATGACTGGAAAAAAAGCTTCAGTTGTCAAGGATGTTACTGACTCCAGATGAATGGCCCTATAGACCGCACATGTGTAAAGAACAATATAAGCTTTTCGACCATCTTTAAGGTAGAGGGGTCCTGCCAGATCGACACCCACTATCTCAAAAACATTTGCATCACGTACTCTATCTTTCGGCAAAATTCCTGGAGTTACACATCACAACTTTTGGATTTAAATCTTTGACATTTCACACATTTTCTAATGCAGTTTCGTACTGTCTTACGAGTTTTGAGGATCCAATACTTTTCCCGCAAATGAGACATCACCATAGAAGTACCAGCATGCAGCAGCTCATTATGTGCATTTCATTATTAGTAAGTTTTACTACTGCATGATCAGATGGCAAAATGACAGGAAACTTAAAGTCATCAGTATCGTCGCGATAAGAAATATTGGTTTTAGCTCTGATCAAACCATCACGATCAACTATAGGTCTGAGGTCTTTAATTTTTTATCATCGTTCACACTCTTAAATGATTCTCTTTGAACCAATAACATAAGAGTTATCTCAGCTCTTTCAATTTCCGAAACTGACAAAATTTTGGAGGTTTCGTTTGTAATTCTTCGTAATTTAAAGTAAAACCTAAGAATCCAACCTAACATGCGTACAATTTTCTTTATGGATGAAAAGTACCTGTAATACCAATTGTCAGGTTTAGAATCTTTGTTAAGAGTTGTCAATACTGATTTACGCCTTTCTGAATTTATGATCTCTTCGTCCGGCAAATCGGTGCCTCTTGACCATGACGATTCTGGTTCTAACAGCCATGATGGGCCCTCCCACCATTTCGACAGCAAAAACTGTTTAACTGAACAGCCTCTAGAAGGGAGATCGGCGGCATTCAGCTCCGAAGGGATGTAATGCCAATCTTCTATTTTTGTAAGTGTTCTGATTTCTTGGACACGATTCCAAACGAAAGTTCCCCACCGTACGTCTCTCGCTGGATCCAGCACAAAGCGGTTGTTGAGTCAGTCCAGAAGAATGTTCTTAAATTTGGCATGTTCAAATCTGAAAAGACCATACGTCCCAAGCGTGCTCCGATTAAGCAGGATAATAATTCCAAACGAGGAATGGATATACTCTTTAAAGGCGCAAACTCTAGTGCGTGCTTGCACAAAATTTAAATAAACCTTATTTTCGGTCTTCACTCTTAAGAAAATACAGGTAGCATAGGC